TCCAAACCGTGCAGCGTGCGGCAGAGAGCGAGAGACCTTGCGTGCCCTCAGCCCTCAATAGACTGAATAGATGCTAGAAGATGACAATAAACACCCGTTTGCATTTTAGAGTCTAATCAAAATAAAGTCATATGACATGATCTTTGAAAACATTTAACTAAATACAGAGTTTTAGACTTATCTTCATTTTTTCAAATATAACATGGTCAGACACGTGGCTTTAGCTGCAGTGCATTTCTAGATTGATACAATGCCTACTTCAATTTTATTTTCTTGAAGATGTTACATAAAAAAAAATACATTTCTAATAACTTTGCAAAACTTTGAAGCTATTTATAACAATTTATTTTCATTATGACAATAATTAATTCTATATTTAAAATAAACTGCCAGGTGTCAGCTTTCAAATGAGACCATACTTGTGATTTTAGTGCAAAGGGTTCATGAACTGTATCTGTTTCAGTTTGTGTATGCCATTTTTGGGGATTTTTCAAAAGTGGGGTTGCAGCCTAACAGGTTATATAGAGTTGTTGATATGCTGAAAAATAACTATATTTTTACTATATATTTTATATTTTACTATATTTTAATTTTGACATTAGCAATTTCTGAAGTTTTTTTAAAGTACTTGGATAATTTATCAACAGCTAAGCCTACATCTCACACAAAGAAGGGGATACCAAGACGGAGAAGTAACAGCTTGAGTCCTCCTCCAAACAGTAAGCGCAAAGATTACTCCTTTTTTACTCCTTTATTATCTTAACTGTTAAAAGCCCTTCTAGGGACAGGTGTTGCAAATTAGCCTTGGCTATAAACACTGTGATACAGGCATCGGATTGTTCTTTATGTAATAATCTATGTTTTTTTTTTACTGTCCCTATTCAAATAAACCAGGGGTAGGCAAGTTCGGTCCTGCAGAGTTTGGCTCCAACACTGAGAAAAACCTCTCCTGCCTATAGCCTTAGTAATCCTGAAGACATTGATTAGCTTGTTCAGGTGTGTTTGATTAGGGTTGGAACTAAATTCTGCAGGACAGCAGCTCTAGGACCGAACTCGCCTACCCCTGAAATAAAAAAATAAAAATAAAAAAATAAAAAAAAGACAAAGTTCATACAGGGCTCCAGACTGCGAGCAAAATGGTGGACATTATGCGACCATTTTTTGAGAATATGCGAGTTAAAATTTGACGTGGTTGCATTTGTGCGATTGCATGGTTACACATTTAATCTGTCTGCACTTTCATTAGAAATGTAGGCCTATCTAATATGTCACGTATTAGCAGAGGCGGACAGAGTACAGAGCTTTGTTACTTGAGTAAAAGTACAGATACCCCTTGCTAAATTTTACTCAAGTACAAGTAAAAGTACTACATTCAGATGTCTACTTAAGTAAAAGTACTAAAGTACTTGTTTTTAAAAGTACTTGAGTATCAAGAGTACAAGAGTAGATTTTCTAAATATTGCATTACTAATCTACTGCCACAGTGCTTACATTTATGCACAGAAACGTCCTACATGGAGTTATGAAAAAATGTTAATGTTAATACCTTGGAGAATGTAAAAGGAATTGAAAGTAAAATCAAGTCATTTTCATCTTTTTACCATGTTGCTTTATTTAATTAAATTTTTGGGGGTCCCATCTTTAAATGCAGGGAAAACACACACACACACACACCACATGTAAGGGTGACGCTGCCAATAAAGCACCTAAAAGCTGTCACAAAGACCCGGCAAAAGGAATGATTATGAATATGTAAAATATAGCATGGAGATATTTTAATTGTTTATTAATAAACACTTGTTAATAAACAAGTGTTTTCTTTGTCAGTGTCGGCTAGATGAAGTTGACGATGCTGACTCGCGATCTTCAGTAGTGAACGCGCCAGAGAGAAATGCACATTTCATACGGATTACATAAGCAGAGAGCAGTCTGTAGTCTGTTTTCTTTCGTTTTGAATTTTTCTGTTTAAAAGTAGACATGTCTGTGAGAGGCAAGTAGGCTACCTTATACACTGAGTTTCGGTTCATTTATGAGACGAGATCCAGTTCACGTGCCGGCGCCTCCGTTTCTTATCTATCGTCTGCTATTTACTTCTTATTTATTAAACCCAGGCAATTGGTTGATGAAACATTGATTAAAATTAAGATACAATTAATGCAAAACGAAATTCAGGTTAAAGAAAGGTTTTGTGTTTTCTGTTTGATGTCTCTGTGAAAGTTTTAAAGCATTTTTTATGCCGCTTTCAGAGCACTCACGTCCGTAACGGAGAACACGTCCATAACATTGTTTTTTCCTCATAAATGCAAACCCGAAAAATAAAATAAAACAAAATTAATTTTTTATGTACTGTGGAGACTGAGCGCCAACCCTTCTTCATTCGCTGGGTAGTGGCCTACTTTGGTTTGCGCAGTGTAATTCACATAATCAGTAAACATATATTTTGCCTCCTAAAGTTTTTTTTTTAAGAAATCAGAAATCCCTCGTGGCTACGCCACTGCCACATTTGAACCTGACTGTGTTAAACACACCACATACTCAAGAACATCAAACCAAATGCTTGGCTTACATTAATGTGTAATATAAAATCTGACCATGGAGTTGACTGTGGCGGAAAGCTGAAAGTGATTGCTGATAGGCTGTCCCAATCAGTGGCGCCTGCACAATCCAATCACGTTTGAGAGGGAAACAACAAATTGAGGGTTTCCGAGATTTTTCTTTTTTCTTTTTTTTTTTTTTTACTCGGGTACTCACGGTTATGGATAGAAATATATTGGAGTAAAGAGTACAATATTTACCTCTCAAATGTACTTGAGTAAAGTCATGAGTACTCCCCAAAAATGATACTCGAGTAAAGTACAGATCCCTCAAAATTGTACTTAAGTACTGTACTCAAGTAAATGTACTCTGTTACTGTCCGGCTCTGCGTATTAGATACATTACGTGATGGGAATTACGCCGTTATAAACAACGCCGACGGCATTACTTTTTCCAGTAACGAATATCTATAATTGATTAGGCTACTCTTCTCATCTTAATAACGCCGTTACCGTTACTGCTAAAAAATGCGGCGCGTTACTATAACTGATGGAGCTGTTTTTTTTCATCAGACCAACTAGAGCGAGAGGCAAATACTTTTTTTTACTGTTCTTCCTTGGTTAGTGGGCAGAGCACGAGACAAGCGCATAAATGCTGACGATTGGCTGAGGTAAAGTAAAATGTCATTGTAAGCCAATCACAGGTAGAGTTGGGCGGGTGTTCGAAAGCACGCATTGATGGGCATTCGGCTCTTTTGACTCAGCTCACTGAAAAGAGCCGGCTCTTTTGGCTCACAAACGGCTCTTTAAATGACTTTGACTATAGTATTTCAATTTTTATTAAATAATTATTTAATTTCTATAGGCTAAATGTGTAAATATAGAGTCGGCTTTTCAGATATGCGAGCCAGCTCCCGACGTTCACCTAAAAGAGTCGGCTCATTCGCGAATCGCGAACGACCCATCAAAAGCTCATTCGCGAACGAGTCGATCCATCATCACTAACGCTTATTCGCGAACGACCCATCATCGGCTAATGCTCATGAATTGCAAATGACCCATCATAACGCATAGTCGGACAGGACAGGACACACAAGGAACAACACAAGCCAGTCAGTCAACGAGAGATGTGTGTACAATGTGTCATGTTTCTGTTAATAATGTATTCCTATTAAGTGTCCGTTTCATTATAATATTCAGATTTATCATAAATAATTGAACATGCACATGTATTTTAAGTTCCGTTAAAGAGGGGTAGAGGTGGGGTCACATTTGAGCAGTTAAAATTTAATTTTACTTGAAAGTAACGCAATAGTAAAATTTGTAACTGAGTAACTCATTTAGTAGTCTCGCGTAGCCAGACCTTCAGACTGACGGCTGAAGGTCTGGAATTCATAGCAGCTTTCTTTGGCCAAGGCCCGCCCATAAGGCCGTTTGACCGACATGTCAAACAACCAATTACAGTTCGTTTCGTTCAGCGTCACGTTTCGGTGCGTGGAAATGTCCCCACAACAACAGACCAGCGTGCAACAAGTCAGTCAGCATAGAAAATCAAAGAAGGAGAAGAAAACTTCAAGAGTCTATGCCGTGAACCTCGCATACTTTTGAGAATCCTATGTTTAGCTGATCTTGATAAATGCTCATTGTCACTCATGTAAACACAACGTTAGTTTTTCTTCCGCAATCACGTCTGCGCTTTGTTTCCCGGCGGACCGAAAATAAACGCGACACTCGCGCCCCCCGGAAATCCGATAAAATTCAACCAATCAGATGACGACTTCGACATTCCTGAAGTGTTTCCAGTTAAGTGTACCATATGCATCAGACGTTTAGCCAACGTTCCGTGGGCGTGACGTCTGAGGCTGAGACTACTCATTTAGTTACTTTTTGGAAGAAGTAACTAACTGTAACTAATTACTTTTTAAAAGTAACTTGCCCAACACTGCGTATTATCGACTGGGCCAAATCAGCTATTCTCCCGTAGTAGTTGGTTACGCAAGTGTGAGCAGCGCGTATTTCTTTTGGCATGTTAACCAATGATTACATTCACACCGGGAGCAGGAGCGCAGCAGTGAAGTGGTCCAGTGAAGCGCGCGGAGTCCATTTTTGCTGCGCTGCTCACAATCAATTAAAATGAAAGTACTTTTGATGGACAAAATAAATATTATGAATAATATATATTAATATATTATATAATATATATAATATAATAAAATGAATTATAAATATTAATAAATAAATGTCGTCTGAAGAACGACAGAAAAGGAAGGCTCCGTTCCTGAAATGTTTAATCGGAACACAATTAAAATGTAATAATTTAATTAAAAGGTTCAAACAAAATAACTGATTAAAATATGGTCTGCCATGACACATTTATACTGACATTGCAATACATCTTTGTTTCTAGTGTTCATTTGGATATTGGGAGAGAACTGGGCAGAAAAAATATCAGTGGGAAATTTTCTTATGGGAACGAAAGCATTTGACAAAAAAGTTCCTTCCTCCCATCCTGAGACAGCCACTGGACTCATTGAGACTGAACACGTATCTGTGATCATCACACAAAATCTGTTTGATAGACAGGTTCCTGAAGTCCAAATTTCTCAGGCACTAAAATGTTGTGAGGACATCTCCACTCCAGGTCCACATGTACTTCTGCTGATTCTGCATCCAGATCTCACTGAGAAGAACAGATATATGATGGAGACCATGAAATCTTGGTCAGATGACACACTGAAACATACAATAGTAGTACTGATGAGCCAGATGAAATCAAGCAGTGCTAAGAAGAATGACATTTTGTTCGGAGAAAATGTGACCTACTACACATTTGAAGAAAAAAAGAAAAGGTTCTCAGCAAGCACGCGTTCAGTAACTTCAGAGCTATTTAAGAAAATCCAGACCTTGAATGCAAAAAATGAGGGAAAGCATCTTACCCTGAAAATGCATTATCCACCACTAGATATTCCATCAACGTCATCTGAGCCGCCACAATGTGACAAGAAAAAGATGAAAACAGTGGAGCACAGAGAACAATTCTGTAAGTTGTTAAAATAAGACTTAATTAAAAATTGTAATAGCTGATTCTGATTTGAAGTGAACATTGATACTGAACACTGATATAAATAGATCTGCAGCACACAAATGTTCATATTATAATAAATGGTCTGAAAGAGAAATCAGAATATTTCTGTAAAATTATGTTTTGAATTGTTTTAATTGAATATAGCGATTACACAGTGGTGAACTCATGGAGAACTTGAACACTCCCTTCCTATAGGCTTAGTATCAACCAAAGATTGTTTTTTTTTAAGTATAGTAACACAATCTTTACTTGTTTCAGTGTCTGGAGAAATTTCTACTCAGAATCTTAATCTGGTGCTGTTTGGAAGGAGCAGCGCTGAAAAAATGTCCACATCAAACATAATACTGGGCAAGACAGAGTCTGAATCTGAAACCGTCTATGAATGTGTAAAGAGAGAGGGTGTAATATGTGGACAGCAAGTCACCCTGGTTGAAATACCAGAACTATACAATACTCTCTCTCTGAAGGATGTGATGCATGAGACATACCGTGCTCTGTCTCTATGTTCATTGAACATACACACATTTCTCATGGTTCTTCCTGTCAGTCCTCTCACTGATGATGATAAAGGAGAACTTGATTTAATCAGTGACATATATGACACAGCTGATAGGAAGTTCTGGGATCATTTAATGATCTTGTTCATATGGGAAGGGAAGAGGCAGGACAAAGTCATCACTGATTTCATACATTTAAACAAAGATATTAAGAGCATTTTACAGAAATGTGGTGACAAATACCACATATTTATTATTAACCAAATACCTGACAGTAGGCAGATCTCAGAACTGCTGCAGAAGATCAATGTGATCACTAGGAACATGCAGACTTCCTACTCAAATGAAACATATGTCAAAGCGCAGCTGGAGAACAGACTTCAACGAGACAGCAGAATTAAGGAAATGGAGAAAGAAATCAGAGAGTTAAAGAAGATCAAAGAAACAGGTGAGACATGATCAAGAGCTCATTTTAGGTCAATCAATCAGTGTGAAACTTAATTTGCAATTTACACAAAATCATTCAATCATTTATTAATTAAGCTTACTATTAATATTCAAAAACATATTCCGTGGTATCCCTCACGGCAAGCAAATATTGACAAAAACCTCTACAATACTTTTTTTTTACAACCTGTATTGCGTTTTTCTTTTGAATAATTTGAATCCAAACTGTTAATTCAAAACGCTTTTGACATTGTGAGTCATGTTTTTTTCGCCTCTCTTCCACCCTAGATGAGAGTGAGAGGACAAGCAAAAAGTCAAACTGTCTGAGAATTGTGCTTGTTGGAAAAACTGGATGTGGAAAAAGTGCCACCGGAAACACTATACTCAACAGAAAGGCATTTCATTCTCAAACCAGTTTTAAATCAGTGACATCCTCATGCCAGAAAGAAGAAGGGGTTGTTAAAGAAACTCCAGTCACTGTTGTTGATACTCCAGGTCTGTTTGATACAAAGCTATCAAATGAAGAAGTGAAGGAGGAGATACTGAAGTGCATCAGTCTCCTCTCTCCAGGACCTCATGTGTTCTTGCTGGTACTTGCAATTGGAAGATTCACAGCTGAAGAAATGGAAACTCTAAACCTAATAAAGGAAACATTTGGAAAAAATGCTGGTATGTTTAGCATCATAATATTCACCCATGGTGATGAACTGGACGGTAAACCAATTGACAGTCACTTGGAAGATGCTGATTCACATATGAAGAAGCTAATCAAAAATTGTGGGGAAAGATATCATGTGATTGACAATAGAAAACAAGACAAATCTGAACAGGTCATTGCCCTCCTGGAAAAAATCAATAGAATGGTGGAGAAAAATGGAGGAGGGTGTTACACTAATGATATGTTCAAAGAAGCAGAGGCTGCCATAAAACAGGAAATGGAAAGAATTTTAAAAGAAAAGGAGGAGGAAATGGAGAGAGAGAAAAAAAATATATGTGAAAAACATGAGGAGGAGATGGCCGACATGAAGAGGAGAATGGATCAACAGAGAGCACTAATGGAGAGAGAGAGGAAAGTAAGAGAGGAAGAACTCAGAATCAAGGCAACAGTCTTGAAAAAGGAAATCAGGAAAAGGCATGACCAAGAGGAGAGGGAAAAGAGAGACAGAGAGGAAGCTACAAAACAGCGAAAATCTGAAGAAAATAAACAAAACAAAGAATGGACATTAAAATTGCAACATTTAAAGAATAAAAAAGATGAGCTAGAGGGAGAGCTGAAGAAAAAAGATCAAGAAGAGAGAGAAAGGTATGAGAGAGAGAGAAAAGAAATGGAGGAACGTCATAAAGAAAGATTAACGCAAGAACAAGAACAAGAGGAATATCGAGAGAGATTGAACAAAGAAAGAAATGAATGGGAGCTGAAACAAAAAAAAATGATTGAAGAATTTGAGCAGGAGAAAAAGAAAAAAGAAAAAGCAGAGAATCAGAGGATTGAACATGAACGCAGAGAAAAAGAAAAAATAGAGAGTGAGTTCGAGGACAGTAAAATTAAGATGAGAAAAGAAAGGGAGGAATGGGAAAAAGTACGAAAGGAAGAGTGGGATAAAAGAATGATGGAGGAGAAGAAGAATAGTGAAGAGGAGAGAGAGAAACTGAAGAATCTTAAAGAGGAATTTGAACAAGAGCGTAAAGAGGAGGATGAGAAGAGAAAGAGAGAAGATAAAGCCAGACGACAACAGGAGGAACAAGAACGAAAACAGATAGAGAACGAGTATGAAAGCAAAATAAAAGAAATGAAGATGAAACATGCGGATGAAGCCAGAAAGCAAGCAGAGGAATTCAATGAATTCAGAGAGAAATATGCCAAAGACTTTCATTCTCTTGTGTTAATGCATGATCAACAGATGCAGAGTCTGAAGCAAAAGCATGAACAAGAGTGCCATGTTTTGAATGAACTTTCAAAGCAAAAACAGAAACATCTGAATGAAAAAAAAAGCCAAATAGACGTGGCACATAAAAGAGAGGCAGATGAAGAGAAAAGGCAGAATGAAATAATCTTCCAAATGGAAGAGGCTCATAAAAGACAGGTTGAGGAGATGAAAAAGAAATATGAAGAAAAATGTATTTTACAGTAGTATATTGAAAGGTATAGTATCCAACCGTCTGTTATCATCTACTCACCCCCCAACAATGGAAGTGCTCTATCACTGACAGGGTTTGCAGCTCGAGTGAGTCACTGACCAAATTAAATGCATCTTTTAAGTCTTTCCTTTCACTTCTTAATGATATTACAATGTGAGACTTTAGAGGAATCAGCTGCAAGTAATTAAGCATGTTGTTGTTAAGGGCAATAAAAATGCAGCACTTGATGTTTCTAAATATGAAGTAGTAATCCACACCAGTTAACAATTACAAATGTATAAGCAAGGAGCCATAATTTTGCATTTGTCTATATTAATATTTATGTATTCATTTCTATGTTAGATCTTCAGGTTTTATGCTTATTCTAATCAGATTGATGAAATTTATGACACAAATTTTAATCATCTCTTCATCAAATCAGTCTTTTCTTGCTGATGTACAATACCATGCTATCTTTGTATTGACATTAGGGGTGTATACCGTACCAGTTTTAAAAGAAAAACCTGTGCAAAATTTTCAACCTGTTGAATTTTTTATATAGCCCATCATTCATTCTTCTTTGTACAAAAAATTTACATGATTGGTGTAAAATGAAGTAAACTGTCAATAACCCTAGAATCGTAAAGGGGTGACAAGCTGTGAGTTTTTAAGTATTTTATCAATAATAAAATGTCTTTAATATTTCATGAATTTCTCCAAAAACATTTCTGACCTTTTTCAATAATTTTTATATTTCACTACCCCAAGACTGCATAAAGAGGTTCAAATTCAAAATTCGATTTTTTATGTTTAATAATATGATGGTTTGAATATGATTTCAAAGAAGGCGAAGGCAAAGTGCAGCACCCCACCACATGACAGAGCGTTTAGAGAGCGCATTATACATGAATGAAGCAATTCATATCAATATCTTAAAGGGGTCATATAATGCCATTTTCATACAAGTTAATTTGATTCTTTAGGGTCTAAATTAAAAGTTTGTAATATACTTTAATAAAAAATTCAGCATTCATCACCTTAGCCGCATTCATCGTGAAGCGTGCAAGCGATTTGCAAAGATTGATATAAAGGTTAATAAAACTTTACACTCACTTCTTCTGGAGGTTCAGCAGGAACACGAATAGCTGGTACCGATCCTTTTTTCATGAGCAGCTTCTTAGCAAAACCAGCTTTATACTGACCCTCGTTTATAAAGCAGTCTGCTGAGAAATGATTCGCGCAAACATGAGAGCATGACGTTGCTCGTGGGGAATATTCCCTTCGAAAACAAACTCAGCCACTGCGTCTTCAGCGGTTCGGATTTAGGAACATTAAAATGACTGTGTTCGTTATTACACCCAAGAACAGAACACCACAATCGCTTAGAGCCATTCTGCTCCAGCGTATCAACAATAGCGGACTATGATGACAGCTCGCTCAGGGCGGGTCTGTGTTGAAACGCTGCTGTCAATCAACAATCGTGGGAGGGGCTTCCGAGCTTGTGACGTCACACGCTCGAACGGCTCGATTTGAGGCAGGGGAAAACATATAAGGAGATTAAAACAAAAACCACTGGATGGATTTTTATCATTATATGATGGTTGTGTACAGACACTGCCAACACACATTTCAGTACAATCAACTTGTAAAACTGCATGTACCATTACAAGACCCCTTTAACAAATAGAAAATAGTAGGGGTGGAACGGTACACAGAAGTCACGGTTCGGTTCATACCTCGGTTCAGACATCACGGTTCGGTACGATTTTGGTACAATGGAGGGAAAAGCAAAACAAAAATGCAGAAGGCATTGTATTTTTTAAATAAGTTTTATTAATAAAGTCATAGAACCAGTTTATTTGTAGTGCACTGACAATAGTTTTATATAATTAGTTTAATAATTAAATTAATAAAAAGACAAAAAGACCTTGCGATATGTTTGGTAATTGTACCTGAATTAATTTAAAATTATTTTGCTATATTTCAGATCATTATATTTGTTTTCCTTAATTTGAATTAACATTATTAATTGACAATGTAACATTATTCTCATCTGAATTATAAATAATTGATTTCTGTATAAAATAATACTACCATTAATAACACATTCAATTTTCTTTTTTAATCAATGTAGAATGTGTAAGATTAGCGCTCCGAGGACAAGAAATGAAAACCAATGCAATATGATGAATGTCCAAAAGACAGACTGTTTTGAAATGGAGTTGGATAAATATGTTTTGCTTTTAAAACAGTGTGTGTGTGTGTGTGTGTGTGTGATTTTGGTTGGGTGACAGTTGTAGGTTACAGTTTGACAAGAGTTTACAGTGTGACAAAAGCACAATGTTGTTTTATTGCGAGTGTACACAAATATAAGTAAACACTTTGCAGGTTTAATGATCTGTATAAACAAAATGTCTCTGTCTCTCTGTCTCTCTCTGTCTCTCTCTCTCTGTTCGATCGCGCCCGCGCGCCTCTCTCTCTCTCTCTCGCACACACACACACACACACACACACACACACACTCTCCAGCATTGCAATCTTGACATCGCTTTTCTTGCAATCTTTCCATTTGCAGGTACAGATATTAGAAGCACGTTCAACATGGACACGCAAGTGGTTTCTGTGGTAACAAACAAATACCCACCTAAGAGAATGAACATGTCCTGTATCTGAGGCAAAAGTAAAAAATATTGAGAATGCAATGGCCCGTCAGGTTGCTCAGGTCACATCTTCGTCGTCAAGCTCAGTGTGAGTCTGCGCAGTCGCTCAGCCATCAGGAAGTGAGTGCTTCTAAGCAAGGGGGTAATCCACCAGCCGGAAACTGAAGTCTCCCCGGGCGCCGCCATTGGCTAACAAGCCTTCACCTGCTGTTAGCACTCCATTGACTCCCATTCATTTTGGCGTCACTTTGACAGCGAATAACTTTACATCTGAGGCGTTTAAAGACTCCATTTGTCCATTATTTATTTCTAAAGAAACATGACAATGTATAAAAGGCTCCATTACATTGTATCTTACGTTGTGGCCCCGTAGAAGCAGTTTTTGTAAAAATAGGCTAACGATTGCGTCATAACACGCGACTCTCTGTCGCACACTAGAGAAATTACCGTAAAGACCGAAGGAGAAGCTCGCATGCAATCGGGGGGACGTGGAGGCATAAAGTCAAGGGAGAAGCCCATAGAGAGTCATAAAGTTGCTCCTGCTGCTCATGGACAGCTAATGCTCACGCTCTCCGGCTCTGTGAGATTCGGAAGGGAATGATTCAGATTCCTCTCGGCACTGCTACTAGAAGACGTACAACTGTCAGTCAGGTTGCTCACGTCACAACTACGTCGTCCAGCTCAGTGTGAGCCGGCGCAGTGCGCTTGGCAATCAGGAAGTGAGTGCTTCTAATCAAGGGGGTAATCCATCGACCGGAAGTTGAAGCCTGCCGGGTGCCGCCATCTTGTAGCAGAACTTCACTTGCGTTAGCATTTCTATAAAGGAGGTGTCGGGAGGAAACCCAAACTTGTGACCTCTGAGAAGGACTGTACTTAGGGTTGATACAAAATCCTCAATCTCCCCAGGTTGTCCGGTCAGAACAATAATGAGGACGAATTTTACACTCTCATGCCACTCTTTAATGAAACAGTTTGACATAGACGATGTGAGTTTTGTTCATGGTTTCTAAAACAAACAAAAAATGGACTCATGAATAATCATTATTCATACACAATTGTAAAAACTAATGCAATTATATTATGAAAGAAGATTTCGAAATCACTACAATGAATATAATATAACAATAAACATTATGTCTCAAAAGTGCAAAATACTATACAACTGGTACAAATGGCAAATACAATACTGTCTTGAATTGTACAGACATAAATGATTAAACTGCCTGGATGGCTGAAAACCACCAAAAAGAATAAACTCAGTCCTATAACATTTGGCCGAGAAGGGGTTAAATCGCGCCAAATCCGAAAACATGCAGAGAGTGCATGCTGGTTTCGCGTGATCAAAGTTAAAGCCTATCGTAGGCTTTAACTTTGATCACGCGAAACCAGCATGCACTCTCTGCATGTTTTCGGATTTGGCGCGATTTAACCCCTTCTTATTTATTTGGCACAGCCCAAATAAAACAAGGTGAAATCGCTCTAAACACCATCAAAGATATGGGAAAGTGAAACTATCATGTAGTCTAAATTTGGTTTGGTCATTTAGCTTCAGGAATGTATACATCGGTAGGCAAAGTAAAGTGTAAGGAATAGTATGCATACTACATTAATCTTTTTTTTTTTTTTTTTTTTGCAACAATAACAGTAACAAATACAAAAACCAAGACAATAAAACACAATACACAAGAATACAGTACATAGGGTTACATTACAAAAAACAACAAAGAATATCAAGCTAGCTTAAATGATTGACACCACTGTAGAGTCTTAAATGCAGTAGAGTTTTTAGAGCTCTTCAACGAATTTAGGTATATATCAAGATCTTTCTTAAAAATAAAAAAGGAAGGCGTTTTCTTTGAAAATATACACTTGTGAATATAAAATTTGGCAAGAAAAAGTAGCAAATTATGAACAAATTTAAAATGATAAGGGTCTAATTTCAAAGAGTCACCAAAAAACAAAATTTTTTGGCTTAAATAGAAGTTCAAAGATAGATACCTTTTAACAAAGTTTGAAAAGTCAATCCAAAAAATTTTACAGTACACACATTCCCAAAATAAATTAATAATTGTCTCATCAAATTGATGACAGAATGAGCACAAAGGAGAAATACTGTTATTAAATTTAGCAAATGTATAATTAACTGGGTAGCAATTGTGAACAATTAACAGAGACTTCAACCACTTTATTAGTTAAAAAGAATTTCCGCTGAAGAAACCAAAAATCTTCCCAAACTATATCATTAAATTTGTTATTCCAAAAGCTTACACAAGCAGGCAAAGAAATCTGATCTCTGCTCAGAATTGAGCGAATTTTCTTATTTGATAAGCTGTTGAGAGGACATTGATCAACAAATAAA